AACCTTCAGGGAAGCTGGAACTCCCAGGGAAGCTGGAACCTCCAGGGAAGCTGGAACCTCCAGGGAAGCTGGAACCTCCAAGGAAGCTGGAACCTCCAGGGAAGCTAGCACCCCCAGGAAAGCTGGAACCTCCAGGAAAGCTGGAACCTCCAGGGAAGCTGGAACCTCCAAGGAATCAGGAACCTCCAGGGAAGCTAGAACAAACAAAACACTTTCATTGTGTTTTGTCACAAAACACTTTCATTGTGTTTTGTCACTGTTTTTATGATGACATTTTCTTTTCCATCTGCAAACACTTTGTCATAGCCATACTTTGTCATACTTTGTGTCATACACTTTGTCATAGCCATACTTTATCATACTTTGTGTTGTACACTTTGTCATAGCCATACTTTGTCATACTTCGTATCATACACTTTGTCATAGCCATACTTTGTCACAGCCATACTTTGTCATAATTTGTATCATACACTTTGTCATAGCCATACTTTATCATACTTTGTGTTGTACACTTTGTCATAGCCATACTTTTGTTATACTTTGTGTCATACACTTTTTCATAGCCATACTTGTGTTATACTTTGTGTTGTACACTTTGTCATAGCCATACTTTGTCATACTTTGTGTCATACACTTTGTCATAGCCATACTTTTTCATAGCCATACTGTGTCATAATTTGTATCAAACACTTTGTCATAGCCATACTTTATCATACTTTTTGTTGTACACTTTGTCATAGCCATACTTTTGTCATATTTTGTGTCATACACTTTGTCATAGCCATACTTTTGTTATATTTTGTGTCATACACTTTGTCATAGCCATACTTTTGTTATACTTTGTGTCATACACTTTGTCATAGCCATACTTTTGTTATACTTTGTGTTGTACACTTTGTCATAGCCATACTTTTGTTATACTTTGTGTCATACACTTTGTCACAGCCATACTTTTGTTATACTTTGTGTCATACACTTTGTCATAGCCATACTTTTGTCATATTTTGTGTCATACACTTTGTCATAGTCATACTTTTGTCATATTTTGTTTGTCATTAACTTTGTCATAGTCATACTTTGTGTCATACACTTTGTCATAGCCATACTTTCGTCATACTTTGTTTGTGTCATACACTTTGTCATAGCCATACTTTTGTCATACTTTGTGTCATACACTTTGTCATAGCCAACTTATCCTAGTTAGTAAAAGATCCTTTTTATGCTTAGTCATAGACCTAAATAGTTATAGACCAATCAGCATGTAATAGATGATGTGGTTAACATCACCCTGGCCACTTTCACTTCCAGAATATTTTCCTGTACCTATTTTAGATTAGGTCAACCTGGGAGCCAAGTTCACATTTTTTACAAATTCTCGCAGTGCAGATTTCAATACAAGACCATTGGATTGGCAGGCAAGAGTCTAACCACTATGCCGCCAAAGCTCTTATTCCTTTCCCTAGACACAGTACACAAATTACATCTTGTGCTTTTAATTTTTTAATTTTGATTTTTGTTTTATTTTTTTTTTTTTTTTTATTTCAGATGGGAACCCATCAATAATAGCAAATGAAGATGATGAGGAAGAAAAACCTTTTGTCAGCCGACTCTGAGTTTAGAGGTCAATAGGTTTATTCTCACTGAAGATTTATTTTTTATAAATTGAATATAGGATTGCCGTTTTGTGTTTGTAAAATACTGAGTAAAATGGTTGCAAAATGACCACTTATATTATGTCACTTCCATTGAAGTGTTAATTATTTTCATGTTATTATCAAGGGCACATTTTTTAAAGAGTATGGATGCTTTTACTCTGTTTACATTGATTACTGCTGTATGGAAAATAGGCTACTTATATGTGAGATATCTGTTTTGCTGCTTTAAGAATCTTCTTATGGAATGCCAGTCATTGCTGTATGGAACACTAGCCATTGCTGTATGGAACACTGATCATTGCTGTATGGAACACCGGTCATTGCTGTATGGAACACCGGTCATTGCTGTATGGGACACTGATCATTTCTGTAATGAAAACTGATTATTGCTGTATGGAACACTAATCATTGCTGTATAGAACACAGATCATTGCTGTAAGGAACACTGATCATTGATGTATGGAACACAGATCATTTCTGTCTGAAACACTGATCATTGCTGTAAGGAACAGTGATCATTGCTGTATAGAACACTGATCATTGCTGTATGGAACACTGATCATTGCTGTATGGAACACTGATCATTGCTGTATGGAACACTGATCATTGCTGTATGGAACACTGATCATTGCTGTATGAAAGGAACACTGATCATTGCTGTATGGAACACTGATCATTGCTGTATGGAACACTGATCATTGCTGTAAGGAACACTGATCATTGATGTATGGAACACAGATCATTTCTGTCTGAAACACTGATCATTGCTGTAAGGAACAGTGATCATTGCTGTATAGAACACTGATAATTGCTGTATGGAACACTGATCATTGCTGAATGAAACACTGGTCATTGCTGAAAGGAACACTGGTCATTGCTGAAAGGAACACTGGTCATTGCTGTAAGGAACACTGATCATTGCTGTATGGAACACTGGTCATTGCTGAAAGGAACACTGATCATTGCTGTATGGAATACCAGTCATTACTGTAGAAAACACTGGCCATTGCTTTGTGGAACAGCAGTCATCGCTTTATGGAATGCCAGTTATTGCTCTATGGATACCAGTTACTGTTCCATGATAGACTCTTTATTCATGTATGAAAGGCTTCTGTTGTATGATATGTAAGATACTGCTGCACGATGTGCCAGTTAACTATTATATGATATACTTGTTACCTAAAAGCTTGTGAGTGAAGTTAAAAAGATGGGAGGACATAGGGGAAAGAGCTGCATGCAAAGGCAAAGGAGGGGATGGCCTGGCATGAGTTGGTTAAAGGCTTATGCTCTACTGAGGGGTAAAGGGCAGAAAAAGAAGAAGATTAACCTGTTACTGTTGTATGATATACTAGTTACTGTTCTGTTGTATATCAAGTACTTTTATTAGATATACCATTTAATGTTGTGTGATACACCAGTTACTGATCAATTACCATTTTTGGATATAAGAGTTCATGCTGTGTGACATACTAGTTACTTTTGCATCATATACCAGTTATTGTTGTTTGATATACCCCTTGTTGTTGTATGATATACTTGTAACTGTATATGATATGCTTGTTTTTATTGAGTGATATAGAAGTTACTGTATGTGATATAACAGTTACTATTGTGTGATATAGCAGTTAATTTTGTATGATATACCCCGTACTCTTGAATGATATGCCTGTTACTACTGTGTGATATACTAATTACTGTTGTGTGATATACCAGTAGTTGTTGTGTGATATACCAGTAGTTGTTGTGTGATATACCAGTTATTGTTGTGTGATATACTAGTTACTGTTGTGTGATATACCAGTTACTGTTGAATGATTTACAGGTTACTGCTGAATAATATTTATTATCACTTAATACTATATTAAATTATTTGTTATATGTATTGGTGATAATATCTCCAATATATGTTTCACCATATTTATGTATCCACAGGTTAGCATTTCAAGATAAAAACACCAGAAATATAAAGCAGACACAATCAGTGAGTCCGTACTATAAAATAACTGTGCAGTTTAAAAAATTAAAATGTAAAGAACACTCTTCCAAACTTGTTTTTTTTATTTAACTTTTGATTCCCACACACGTGGCCTTTACTACAACTAAAATGTCTTGGAAGGGTTATTAGAATAACAAAAAGAAAAATAAAGTTAAAAAATTAAGTCATTACAAGAAAACAAGGACTCAAATTACCTATATAATTCATTAAAGAGCAACCAGTGAGATGGTTGGCCATCTGACAAGAAGGCTGTTGTAGAGAGTCACAGTGGAGAAATATAATGAACATGAAGGAATGGGAAAACTACAAAAGAGACAGAACAACTGCATTAAGAAAATCTTTAAGAATAAAAATAAATTTACATTAAACTGCATTAGAAAGGACACACAGAAGATCCCTGTATATACTCTAAATATCCGAATCAAAGCCTAGATAGGTTGAACAGGATATTGTTGTTTAAATTACTACTACTACTAGATCCTTATATACTGCCCTAGCACTTTGATTAGGTAAATGGAGGAACAGAAGAAGAAGATGAAGATATGGATATGTTAAGAGTAAATGATATGTCAGTTTTTTCTACAGCATTCCTATGGTCCCCATGCAAAGACACATACTCGCTCACTCACACACACACACATGAATACTAAGCATGTCATTGTTGATGTTAAGTCTAATGTAACTTCCAAATCTCAGTGGCATCTAAAATGCTACCATAATGCTTCACAATTTAAATTCAGTTTTATTAAATTTTTATATAATAATAATATCACAAACCCAATCCTAAGGAACTTGTTATAAATCTTGACCCTGATAATTACGGATTAACAGAAGAAAGATTAAATCAAGCACAATCAAAGCTCTTTATATTTGTTAGTCTCACCGAAACCCAGTGTTAGCTCATTCCTGCTAGGCTACTAATTGTTAGCTTTCCTTTGGGGCCTGATAACACAGAGTTTTACATTCGCAAATACTGAAGACAATAAATGGTATTTAGTAAATCTGTAATTATTTTTTTCCTACCCTTCATATCGTACACGGATACTTTTACTCAGTTTAAATTGTTAGAAAGCTTTATAATAATAATGTCCACAATCAGTCGATCCCACCAACCATGAATAAAGGTAAAGGTAAAGTCAGGAGATGTGAACCAGCATCATTGCACATGGTTATAAACCATAAGTGCTCTGCCACTAGTACGGACAGCTGATAAGAAACTGTCCGCCTGTGTTGCCGTCTGTAGCTACAGAGACATTTCTCCATTTACTCCAGAGTGTTAACTCTGGTACCCATTACCTTGTTTTGAACACTGGCCTTGGGCTGCAGCGAGTTGCAGCTCTATTTGATAGCAAGATGGTGCTAAAACAGCACCTATCAACCATGAATTAAAATGGACAATGAAGAGATTGAAAATGCCACAGATTTTGAATATGTGTGCTCAGTAATGAACACTGGTGACTGCACAAAAGAAGTGGAATGCAGAGACTAAACAGCAGGAAGAACCTATGGCACAGCACCTGCAAGCAAGTTATAGTTAATATTTTGAGATTTTTCATCTTTCCTCTGGAAACTTATGGATGTGAGTCCTGGACTGTCACTCTGTCTTTGAAGATGAAATCTGAGCTTTTGAACTAAAATGCTACAGAAAAATTCTTAAAATACCATGGACCAAGAAGAATAATAATTTTGACATCCTGTCTAGCCTAAACATTAAGGATAACTGGCTCTTAAACAGCATCCTCTCCCAAAGCTGAGGTAATTTGGACATGTCAAGTATCAAGATGGTCTGGAGAGAGCAAGGATGGAGGGTACAGTTTCCTGAAAATGAGGCAGAGGCCGACCTCCATGGAAGTGAATACAAGGCACTGAAGATTCATTTGCTATGAAAAAGAGAGACTTTCAGGCATGCCATGAAGAGAGCAACTTTCTATAAAAGAGATGTTGATCGGTGATGATGGACAGCTTTATATATGTATGTAATTTTAATGAAAGTCTGTGTAATTGTTGATTGTTAACAAAACTGTTATTCATTTTACAGTTTATTTTAATTAATTATTTTGCTTGGTGCCATTATTGTTGTTTTCATTTGGCGTTTCTAATTTCACCATTAAATAATGTGAAATGTTTAGATTGTGTGTGTTTTCTCCATAAGATCATGTTTTTATTGTGTATTAACTTCTTTAATATTAACCACAGTTGTATATAATGTAATATTAACTCATACAGGATGAGAAGAATGTGTGTAGGAGTTTTAGTGTTGTTTTTATCTTGTTCCTTATCAGATGGTGTCAGCACTCCAGTCTCCACAGATTTTAGTCTTGGACTTTTTTGAATAGGTTTTATTGATGCTATTTCTCCATGCTGCGATCTTGAACAGTCCAGAATAATTTATGTCAGTTTGTGCCTCTTTTACTGTGCATCCTTTTCAGTCTTCTCAGTGACCTCCAGTTCTCATCACATTACCAAACAACATCGTCTTTTTTTTTTTTTTTTTTTTTTTTTTTAGCAATGTAACGTTTTACTTAACTCTTTGAGCGCCAGGCTGTTTAGCATCACTGGCCCAAGGGTAGTCAATAGAAACGTAAAATCGGTGCATCTTGCATTCAATGGGCTTCTAGATAGGAACCTATGAACGTGTGATATGTTCCTTGAGACTGAAACAGTTAAATTAGATTTTTCTATGCATTAATTTTTTAGTTACCCTGATCATTCAAGGAATTTATCACATTTATCTTATAAATCAGACCTTCGCTGCTTTCAAGCTGCTCCTAAATCCTTCCTTCACATTCTAGGATTCCCTGTTACAATAACAGGTTCAGCATAACATTTTAGTACTCCCTTTCTGAAATTCAATAAAAGAGACTTACTACATAAGATACTTTTCATTTACAGTGGATAGACAAGACAAGATAAGACTAGATACAATAATACAAGACAAGGCAAAAATAAACAAGACTAGACA